GAGCGCTTGCCTTGCATGCCTGAGGCCCTGGGTTCGATTCCTCAGCACCATATAAGCAAAAAGAAAAAAGCCGGAAGTGGCGCTGTGGCTCAAGTGGGAGAGTGCTAGCCTTGAGCTGAATTGCTGAGGGACAGAGCCCAGGCCCAGAGTTCAGGCCCCACGACCGGACTCCCCCCCCCCCCCAAAAAAAAAAACAAAGAGAGATGGCTTGGTGCCAGTGGTTCACAACTCTAATCCTAGCTACTCAGGTGGCTGAGATCTGAGGATCTTAGTTCAAAGCCAGCCAAGGCAGGAAAGTTTGTGAGACTCTTATCTCTCCAATAAACTATCAAAAAAAAAAAAAAGCTGGGAGTATATCTATGCCTCAGGTGATAGAGTTCTAGTCTTCAACAAAAGAAGCTCAGACAGCCCCTAGGCCCTGAGTTCAAGCCCCAGGACTGACAAATAAAGAAGAAAAAGGAAAGAGAGAAAGAAAAAAGAAGGAAGACAAAGGAAGGAAGAAATAAGCAAGAGAAAAGAAGAAAGAAAAAGAGAGAGAAAGGGAGGGAAGGAAGGAAGGAAGGAAGGAACAAGGTCAGTTCTGGCTTAGGATCACATAGTATAGACCCACAATCTGTTTCTGCTCACTCCATGAGCTCCTCCCCCCAAGGCATTATGGGTAGAGTAGCCCAGTCCCCTTAGTCCCTCTGGATCCTGGGCTCCCACAAAGCCCTCACCCCCTTTCTTCTCTAGTTCCTCCTAGGTACTCACCCTCTGGTCACTAGTTAGCTTTCCTGTTAGCTTTTTAAAAATATGTCAGGTCACTGAGCCAGTTGGAATCTGTTTAAAGGACTTTATCCCAAGGCACTATATTTATTTATCTCTTCCATTGCAGAGTTGCATTTTTTGAATGCTTCTAAGGAAGACTGAGAATGTTTTGCCAATCACAGCGTGAAATGTTAAAAAAAGAAAAGAAAAGAAAGCTGTACTTACAGCCTAGCAGCCATGGTTCATGCCTGTAAATCCTAGCTACTCAGGAAGTTGAGATCTAAGGATCAAGGTTCAAAGCCAGTCCAGGCAGGGAAGTCTGTGAGATTCTTAGTTCCAATAAATTACCAAAAATCCAGAGGTGGAACTGTGGCTCTAGTGGTAGAGCACTAGTCTTGAGAAGAGAAAAAAAAAGTACTCAGGGACAGCACCCAAGCCCAGGACTGGAACAGAAACCACACTCTACTCACTTTGCTTCCTAATATTTGTTGGGCATGGGACCCCTAAATATGTGTGACTTAGTCATCAGCCATCCTTAGATCAGGACAATAAACATAACTTTGCAATTCATGAGAGACAGTGGTTTTTGCTTTTCGAAAGAAACCTCATTATTTTGTGCCAGTAATGAGATTTGAACTCAGGGTCTTGGGGCTGTCCCTTAGCTTTTTTATTCAAGGCTGGCACTTCAACATTTAAGCCACACCTCCAGTTCTGGCATATTGCTGGTTACTTGGAGATTTTTTAGAGTCTCATAGACTTTGCTGCATGGGCTGGTTTCGAACCATGACCTT